ACAACTAGATGTTATCATCATTGTGAGTAAGTAAGGGGCTTGTTCTCTGTTTATATACCATAGCCTTCCCTATCAGTGTTGGTAGGGGTGTGGTTTTCTTTGTAGTTCCTTAATTAGGGTAATTTTCTGCTTGATTATATTAATTCCTACTTACCTAGGTGGTAGTTGCTGAAGAATATGTGTTCTGGTCCTTTTATTTCCTTTCTTAGTTTTTTTTATTTTCTCGGTTGAATGGTACATAAATATGGTTTATTTCTCTGTGTCTATTGAAGGCTAATTTCTTTCAGTGCCAAGCTTCTAGGAATTCCCTAGTGTTTTTGGATTTAGGTTGGTCTAGGATGCTTTTGGTTGAATTTATGTGTTCTTATTCATGGATGCACTCTGTTAGTCTTCTGCCTATCTGTCTTACATAGTGACTATTCCAGTCTACAATAAACAGATCCCTGTTTTTCTTCTTCTTGGGCTACTGAATCTTTTGGCTTACTTAAAATGTTTTGGTTGGTTTGCATACGGTGATAATGCCATGTGATTGTAGTAGTCTGTTGATTGTTTCTGAGATTTTTTGATGTATCATATAGTTATCCTTTTCATAGCTTGTGTTGGTTGTGCTGTAGTAAGGTCAAGTACTTTCTGATAAAGTTGTGTTGATATCCATTTTGTTGAAAGTTGTTGTATAGGCAATCTGTTTCCTTTTTCTAGTGTTCTGGTTGCTGCAACTTAACTTTGTACTCAGCTGAATAATGTTCTTACACAATACAGCACTTGTTGGAGAATGGGCTCTTAGTGTGTACTCTTTTTCAATAGACTTGTGTTTGTATTGCTGTCATTTCTTCTGCTGATAATGATAGCTAGGAAGCGTAGTGGGGGTTTTTTCTTTCTTCTCTTGTGCATGTATTTCTTTGAAGATGTTGATAGTTTCATGTGTCTTTAATTGTTTTTTATTATGATGATGGTGTCATCTACTGTACATACTGGTTCAATGTTTTTGGTTATGTTAGTGGGAGTGCT